CAAAAAAAAAAAAAAAAAAAAAAAAAAATCATAAACTAGGAATGGTGGCACACACCCATAACCCCAGTCTAATGAAGGCTGAGGCAGGAGGATCTCAAATTTGAGCCCAACCCAGCTAAAGGGTGAGACTTTGTCCCACAAAACAAAAAAACTTTATGTTAATACTTACAAAACAAATCTACCCTAAATTTAAAATTTTCTTTTACGTGGCTGGGGATGTAGCTCAGAGGCACCATGCCTGCCTGGTAAGCACAAGGTTATGAGTTCAATCCCCGGTATTAGAAAAATATTTTTGTTTTACTGAGCCCTTGATAAAAGGACTCACTTAGACAAGTTAAGCCAAGACACTTCCACTCAGTAACTTTCATTTAGTAAATTTTGACTACGATTAATGTCAGGTAGTAGCAGTCACCCATTTCTGGAGACTGTAAGGTTCACGTTTTATGTTGAGTTTGACTGCATATTGACATTTCAGACACAGATACTCACCTCTAGCCTCTCACCATCTGCTGGAAGCAGCAATGAGCTCAGCTAGGCTTGGCCCCAGTTCTGGCTCTGCCACTCCCCACATGACCTTGAGCAACAGACCTCATCTCTTTGGGCCTCAATGTTCTCATCTGTAAAATGGCATAATTGTCATAATGGCAGCTACTTCACAGGGACGTCATGAAAATGAAGACCTGCTTCAACGAGTTACAGTTGTGTCCCGGCCCAGGCTCCCCCTCCTTACTCCAGATGCTTATTGCTGTGGGCTGAATCATCCTCCCTCCCTATTCATGTTGAAGCCTTAATCCTCACACCTCAGCATGGGGCTGTATTTGGAGGCAGGGCCTTTAAAGAGGCATTTAAATTACAAATAAAGTCATTAGGATGGTCCTTCCTTATAAAATGAGCCACAGACAGGCCAGAAGAGTGTGCATGCACAGGCAGAAGATGGCAGGCTGTAAGCCCAACAGGCCATGGAAAAACCTAGCCCTGAGAAATCTCTGTTGTTTAAACTCACTTGTCTATATTACTTGTTATGGCAGTGCAAGCAACTAACACAGCCACAGGAGGGTGGAGTCCTCTGGCCAGAGGGTACATTAAACATCTTGCTTTCCATGTGCCACGCATGATGGGGAAAGGTCTGAGAAGCACTAAGAATACAGACCTAACACAGCTTCACTGCTGGCCTCAAGATTCAATGTAAGCAGGCTTGGTGGTGCATGCCTATAACCCCAGATGTTCAGAAGGGTGAGTACACACGTTAGAAAATGCTGCTTGAATGTCTGGGAACTCAGAAGAACAGCACTTGCCAGCTTTAAATGCCAGGACCAAAAAACAGAAAATGCTGCTTTAAGGGAATTCCTGGAGTTCAAGATCAGTCTGGGCAACAGTGTAACACCATTGCAAAAAAGAGAAAGATTTAAAAAAAAAAAAAAAAAAAAAAAAAAAGCCGGGCATTTACCCCCGTGGCAATGTGCCTGCCTTGCAAGTGAAATATCAGAATTTGATCCCTGGTACTGGAAAAAAAAAAAAGTCCATGTGTAGCAAGATCATACTCTAATTTATGAAAACCAGAATGTAAGCAGCTATGAGAATCTCCCTTTATTCCTCAGCATCAATGAACCTGTTGCTCACAACACAACAACCAAATGGATAAAGTACAGCTTTGATGTAAAGAGTACCTTCAAGAAACCCTGGGCAAGCACGTGAATAAATTGTTTTCATGATGGGAGCTTGAGCCTTTTCAGAGCCAAGTTGCTAAGAGAAGACCAAACATTCACCTTCAAAGCATGGCACATGTTAGTAGCTCAAAAGCATGCTGTATTTCCTACAAAATACGTTGTATTTTTGTGCTTGTTAAAAGAATTTTTAAGATTGTAAACCATAAATTTAAAAAGTCGTTCTGTATATTATACAAAACGAATTGTGAAGCATTGCACAAGTGTAAGATTACTCAAGAACCTAATGAAAAGCATTTTTATGTTCATTTCCTAGGGGAATAGCAGCCACTGAACTTTAGGGAAGTGATTTCACTCAAAGGGCACAAAGGGAGGCTAGAATGCAAAGCCAGTGCTGGCTGTGCTGACGCTTGGTCCATCAGCCGGTGATGAGTGTAGCAGAGCCCACACTATAATGGGACCTGTGCCGCCCTGAGAGAGCCACTGGGTCACCTGAGTCTTGCACTTGTGACGTGGGCAGTGCAACCCAGCAACCAGACTGCACCTTTTATTAATTTAAACGTGAAAAACTGATTTTTTTCTCTATACAAAATACACGATTTTGAGGACATCATATGAAAAAGAAGATGTAAAATGTCAGAAATACATTTGTATTACATGTTGAAATATTTGGGAAATAACGTAGTAGATTAAATTTCTTAAAATTACTTTCACCTACCTCTTTCTACATTTTTAAATGTAGCTACTGGGAAATTAAAATTACCATGGTGGCTCATGCTGTATTTCTCTTCACTCAGTGGGAGGCTATTACAATACTGCTTAAACTTTTCTTACAGACAGTCTCACAGGTCAGGTATGGTGGCACACGACTACAGTCCCACCATTACAGAGGCTAACGCAGGACAATCATGTGAGGCCGGGGGTTAGACATCAGCTTGGACAATACAGAGAGACAACTGTCAAGAGACAGAAAGAGCTAGGCATGGTGGTGTAAGCCTGTAACCCCAGCACTGGTGAGGCTGAGGCAGGAGAATTGCGGCAAGTTTTGAGGCCAGCCTGGACTACATACGTAGCAAGTTCAAGACCAGTCTAAAATAGTGAGGCCCTATCTCAAAAAAGAGAAAGAAAGGAAAAGAAAAAAGGAGGAAGAAAGAAAATGGAAAAGTAGTAAGAAAAAAAAGGAAGGAAGGAAAAAAAGAATACTTGATGGGACAGGAGTTGCAGCTCAGCTTGTAGCTCAGCTTAGCACATGCAAAGCTGTAGGCTGTATCTTCCACACCAAAATAAACAGCGATGGTACCATACTTTTTGAATAACCACCTATTTAAAGTGTAAAAATCCACTTATTCTGTCTAACATGAAGTAGTTCCTAGAAAAAATGTGGACCAGGAAGCTTTAAAAAGCTAGTAAAAACTTGAGTTTTAAGAATAAATAACATTAGTGGTTGAGAACTTACCTCATATGTGCGAGGCTCTGGGTTTGATTCTCAGCACTGCCAAAAACAAACAACTATAACATTC